TTCCGGCTGCGACCCAGTGAGATGAAATGACTCAATGTTTGATTTTACGGCCATAACTTTTTTGTTTCTGAACGAATCCCTTAGCAACCAAATATTGCTGGAAGCGGGACAGTTAAACCTAACTGTCTATGCATGTTTTAAAAACATATAATACATTATGCACCTAATTAACATATGAAAATGGCAGCCAGCTCACTATTTTCAAGCAAAACATTATACCTGTAAGTTTATCCGCCAGCGAGCCTGGCGACATGCATATCAAATTGTGCGTCCCGACAGGGTGAACACAAAGATCATAAAAATATACCAAGGTCAGTCGACGTGACCTAATTAACATATGAAAATGGTCATCAATTGACTTTCTTTCAGCAAAAACCGTATACATTTATAGTTGTCTGCCAATGAGTTTTGTACTGGATAACCTGATGATGATAACAGTTTTGTACTGGAACCAACAGGGACATAAAAATATACAAAGACCATAAAAACACATGCAGAAGGGAGCTAGAAAGTGAAGTTAAAAAGATAGGGAAGACACTAAGAGCAAATGTAATAGCAAGGACTATAATGACAGCGTGAGTTGATTGAGGACTAATGCCCCATTAGGGCATAGAAGGCAAAAGAAAAAAGACACAGTTTGGCAATATGTTTTTTGACAAAATTGACATAGAAAGCGTATGAATGTGAATGTCTTTACAACACCTAAAAGTATCAACTAGTAATGATGCCACAGTGAGAAATGAATGATAACGTGCATACATGAGGGATAACAATAAATAGCACTAATGTTCTTACATTTGAAAAAAAGGGGGATTGAGATAGATACATATGAAATGTAGACAGACAGACAGAGACAGCATGGATGATTGATATACCGTGGGATTTTGATGTGATTATAGATTCCCCACAGCTTCACACATGCTGCTGCTATATCTATAAAGCCACTATGGAAACATCCATCTAGCAGGTGGAATAGTACAACAAAGGATCATTGTTATACAGTGTTGTTTTCATATACATATCGCTGCTTCTCTCTTGTTGTGTAGGAGTACATAGGACAACAGTCTAGGCATACACTAATAACAGAGACAGCATGGATGATTGATATCCGGTGGGATTTTGATGTGATTATACATTCACCACAGCTTCACACATGCTGCTGCTATATCTATAAAGTCACTATGGAAACATCCATCTAGCAGGTGGAATAGTACAACAAGGATCATTGTTATACAGTGTTGTTTTCATATACATATCGCTGCTTCTCTCTTGTTGTGTAGGAGTACATAAGACAACAGCCTTGGCATACACTAATAACAGAGACAGAATGGATGATTGATATACAGTGGGATTTCATGTGATTATACATTCGCCACAGCTTCTCCGGAAAACAACTGCTATTGTGTAATAAAAAAAATAAAAAAATTATTGTAGTATCCTTGTTTGCCCAGCATCCAAGAGCAAAACATTTACATTGGTATGCATCATGACCAGTCGACACACAGAGGACTGTATTTAGTGAATAGAAAATCTCACAGAGACATCTTAAAATTATATGGGATCTGAGCAAATTGAATGCATGAGACAGCAGAGCCAGGAAATACCACAGGAGAGGACATACAGTGGGGATAGCAACAAGTCGAAAGACAGAGACAGGTAAAAAATGAAAAGAGGCAGTGACCCAAGGTTTCATATTTTACTCTCCACAGATTGCTTGACTGTATCTTCCTCTTGATCTTTTCATTCAGTCTTTTCAAGGAAAACTGTGATCGTTACTTTTCTCTTAATTGTATTTTTAGTTTTCGTATTTCCTGTTGTAAACCTTTCTTTTCACATTGCATATTCATAACTGTCCTTTGCTTTATGACACAGTTTTCACAATCTCTTTTGAGCTTCTTTGGTGATGGCAATCTGCATGATGGTGAAAAATGAGGTACATTTTCTAATGAAGACAACGGTGTGAGTGCTGATCTCTGTTGGGTATCTGGTTCTAATAATGGCTGCATTCCTGGCATTCATGATTTAGAGTGCTGTATTGGTAAAGTATGTCCAGGTTGTGGATCAGGCATGATAGGGAGGCTCATGAATGTGATAGGAAATGGTTCAGGAAGAGTCTAATAAGTGACTGCAATTCTTTTTGTTAAACATTTTTTTTAATGCAAAATCAAACTTTTATATTTATGCAAACTAGTTGTAAGACTTCCCTCATTCAAACACTTGCTGGGTTCTGCTGCCTGCACCAGACTTTGGACTTCACTTAAAACATTAGATATAGAATAACTATCCACTAGCAGCCGTCGAGCAAAGTAGCCTTTCTGTATAGGGTATCCAGCTTCAGAAACTGAGAGATGATCTCTGAGATGCTTAGCTGTCCTTCTTGCCATGACTGTAAATATACAATATAACTATTATAAAAAATACATAAGGAATGTCATATTGGAATTAAATGCTTTCCCCTTGTAATAAACACAATTATACTCTGTTTTAGATTAGATTTTATATGCTTTGTTCTAAAAAAGAATGTTACATTCAGTGCCAGAATTTGTGAAATTAGTGCGCAAAAAAATATGGGCAGGTAAAAATATCTCCAACATAAAATTCTGTAAGCTCTAAATAATGGCAAACACATGAAAAAATGGTACAATGTTTGTGGATGTTTAAAAAGTAACTCACATAACATTGTCAATTTACTAAGCATCCTAAGTTAATTACCAAAGAATCATCTTACAAAATGATGGCCTAAATTAATTATTGGGATTTGGGGGTGATCAGGCAAAAATATCTAAAACAGAAAATACGAAGGGCTCTAAATAATGACAGATGCATGAACAAATGCTACAATGGTTGTAGATTTGTAAAAAAAAATTCTTAAAATAACGTTAGCAAATTTAATTATTATTTTAAGTTAAATATAAAGCGGGAAAAACGGTCTCCTAGTGCAAACATATTGGATTTATAGCGAAAACAGTGATGCCACTAAACAGTTTTTTTAAACATCTGCGCATTTGCCAATGTTTGTGAAATTTCACTTATATAAAAATTAACGCAGAATTCAAAAATACAACACACATTGCGGTAATCTGGCTAATTAAAAAAGATATTTACGAAATTACTTACCGTTATTGGATTTATAGCGAAAACAGTGATGCCACTAAACAGTTTTTTTTTAAATCTGCGCATTTGCCAATGTTTGTGAAATTTCACACACTTATATAAAAATTAACGCAGAATTCAAAAATACAACACACATTGCGGTAATCTGGCTAATTAAGAAGATATTTACGAAATTACTAACCGTTAATTCACTGCGTGCTGCCCAAAAAAAATCGATTTATTTTATACGCGTCAAAACCATCTATAGGTCAAAGTTGGCATCTCTCCAATAACTCCTAATAACTGTTCCGATCCATTGCTATACCTACAAGTAAAGACCAAGATAGCTGCTGGCTGCTGTTGGTCAACTGAAGGAACGGGCCGAGACTAACATGAATGTGCACGCACAAGAACCACAGGAACACAACTGGAGATCAGTTTCAGGATGTCTAGCCGGTCGTACAACTTTCTTGCCTGTTAGAAACAGCTGCAACTGAGAGACTAGCCTGCTTTGATGGTTGGTAGTTTGAGCGCTGGTAGTTCTGTTAGAATTATTGAACAAAAGAATTTATATCTACATCAGTTGTAAGTGGAAACATGTCGAACAGTATAGTTCTTTCGTTAGTTAGTTACTCATTTAGATGCTTAGGAAATCAATTCCTGATATATATATATGTGTGTGTGTTGTGTGTGTGTGTGTGTGTGTGTGTGTGTCTGTGTGTGTCTGTGTGTGTGTGTGTGTGTTATTGTTTGTATATATACACACACACACAAGAAGATGAAGAAAAAGAAAGAAAGGAAGAAGAAGAAGAAGAAGAAGAAGAAGAAGAAGAAGAAGAAGAAGAAGAAGAAGAAGAAGAAGAAGAAGAAGAAGAAGAAGAAGAAGAAGAAGAAGAAGAAGAAGACGACGACGATTAAGAGAAGAGAAGAACAAGAAGAAAAAAAAAGAAGAAAAACAAAGAAAAAGAGGTAGGAAGAGGAGAAGAAGAAAAAAGATGATGGTGAAGAAGAAGAAGAAGAAGAAGAAGAAGAAGAAGAAGAAGAAGAAGAAGAAGAAGAAGAAGAAAGAAGAAGAAGGAGAAGAAGAAGAAGAAGAAGAGGAAAAGGAAGAAAGAAGAAGAAAATAAGAAGAAGAAAAGAAGAAGAAAGACAAAGAAGAAAAGAAGAAGTAGAAGAGAAGAAGAAGAAGAAGAAAAGAAGAAGAAGAAGAAGAAGAAGAAGAAAAGTAAGAAGAAGAAGAAGAAAAAGAGAGAAGAAGAAGAAGAAGAAGAAGAAGAAGAAGAAGAAGAAGAAGAAGAAGAAGAAGAAGAAGAAGAAGAAGAAGAAGAAGAAGAAGAAGAAGAAGAAGAAGAAGAAGAAGAAGAAGAAAAAGAAGAAGAAGAAGAAGAAGAAGAAGAAGAAGAAGAAGAAGAAAAGAAGAAGAAGAAGAAAGAAAAAGAAGAAAGAAGCAAAGAAGCAGAAGAGAGGAAGAAGAAGAAGAGAAGAGAAGAAAAAAAGAAAAAGAAAAAAGAAAAAGAAGAAGAAGAAGAAGAAGAAGAAGAAGAAGAAGAAGAAGAAGAAGAAGAAGAAGAAGAAGAAGAAGAAGAAGAAGAAGAAGAAGAAGAAGAAGAAGAAGAAGAAGAAGAAGAAGAAGAAGAAGAAGAAGAAGAAGAAGAAGAGGAGGAGGGGGAGGAGGAGGACGAGGAAGAAAAAGAAGAAGAAGAAGCTACTTGCACACATAATAATATTTGCATGTTTTGATTTATATAACACACGCGTATGCACAAGACTTTGGTGACAGCTTATTGATTCTTTTTCAGGCTGCAAGCCCACTAGCGGAGCTATTGGAAGCAGTGTCATCCCATCACATGATTTGAATTAATCTTACATTGTACTTCAGACTTTAGTGGTACTTGGCCAGCCGAAAGATGGCGTCACTTTCCCCCGACTTGCCGAAAGTAGAGCTGGACCAGCATGCAGTGCCACAGCACAATGTCACACAAGCGCAGATCACATTACTTCTGACATACTTCACATGTGTATTTTTTTGGCTGGTGAATTCCCTCACAAATATTTTCGAACTGGATCTTTTCGGTCGTTGGAGGAAATCAGATCCTGACATTCTGAGCAACTGTAATGATACATCTGAACCAGATAACCATTCCTGTGAGAAAAACATCCTTTCAGATCATTCCCGTTCCTCGGATGAAGCTATAAGTATTCATTCTATTAATCCAAACGAAGAAATCAAACAAAGACACGAACAACATGTTAAAATTGAGGACAACGAAGTCATCAAAAGACCGCGAACAGTGTCTGGTTCAGGGAAGAGTTTGTCAGAACGTCCAGCAACACCTCCTGCTGTCACACTCAACAAATTCATGTCATCTGTCGTTACCTTCGGAGCTATATTGTTCTATTTCTTTCTGTGCGATTACATAAAGGTAACTGGTGATTTTTGTGGTTATTAATTGCATATTGTTGTATCTCATTCGTCGGCACCTTGCCATCTTTCTAGATACTAGTGTTCTACCATATTTTGAGTTGCTGAACCGTGCATATGCACGAGACTGAGGCTAGTACTGGTGACGACTCCTCCATCGTCATCATATAAAGAGGTTTCCAGACGGAGTACTAGCGGAAGTGGATGCAATGAACGTTTTCTTCAAAGTCGGAGTACATCTGCCCGAATGGCGAGGATTTGTCAGTCTGCACAGAAACCCCTCATCCCCCCCCCCCACCCCTAGCCAAATCGGTACTAAGAATGTGCATAAAATACACAAAAAAGACAACAGTCAAGAAGTGAACGAACAACCGAGATTTGTCACCGGAGTTGACTTTCATTGAACGAAAAGAAGAAGAAGAAGAAGAAGAAAAAGAAGAAGAAGAAGAAGAAAGAAGAAGAAGAAGAAGAAGAAGGATGAGGAGAAAAAGGAGGAGGCGAAGAAGGAGAACAAGAAGGAGAAGAAGAACAAGGAGGAGAAGAGAAACAGAAAACCACACAGTGGAACCTAGGGGTTCATGCATCTTGAGCACTTATCCCAAAATAGATTTCGAAAAGCGGCAGAGTGAGGGGAAGGGCGGTGATAAGAGAGAGAACTACGCTCTCCCCTTTCCAATAACTACTAAAATTGACCATTGGCTCCCAAATCGACCTAGCTTATTGTGGCTACCCGCTAGCTTCCTGGTAAGTGCTAGATAATGGCATATTGACCACATCACCTACGGAATCTACAAAAATATAAAACTGATCTAGCATCATGTGCCCCATTCCCCACCATTGTAAGAGGGGTCCTTTATTTTACCTTTACTTAATTTTTGCCCCATCAGCTCATTGTGTGAAAATGTTGTTTTGCCTTACATGTGTAGATTACTGCATGACTTTTTATATAATTTACGGGAGATACTCCGCATATCTTTTCTTTCTTCCCAGATATTTCCACAAGGAGCGAGATCTTATTCCCGGGATACATTTTTGTTTCTCGTGTTCCTGTTTTTCCTAGTTGGCTGTGCCTTCACGTTAAAAAGTAATCCGGATAAAATATTAAACAGGTATGTGACTTGGTTCGGAATAAAATAGTTGCCTTAAGGGAAGTAAAGATGTTTATCTGAATATCGTAAAGTGACATAAGGGTTTCTATTGTTAAGTGAATGATATCATGTGAAATATCGCAATCTTCATTATTTCAGGAATGCAGTAAATGAAGAGTTTGCCACATAATTTTATAGCACATTGGCAACTATGAACCTATTTTAACTGCAGTGAAAAAGAGGAGAAGAGGCAGAAAGACCTGCCTACAAAACATGACTGACTGGACAGGCCACAGGCATGTAACCATGAAGTCCATCGCAACTGACTGTCAAAGGTGAAGAGAGCCGATCAGATGATCAACATAAACTGGTGACCCAACGACACGCTTTATTACGGGATGATGATGATGAATCAGACTGCAGATGTAGCTCAGGTATATAATACTATCTAAGGGGTTTCCAACGATATTATTATAAACGCAGAAAGCAATTTATTTAGTTGTTATTTCTCGGCAAGTCCTTCTGGTACAGCCTTTGCATTCTTGAAAGGGTTATTTCAGGGATTTCACCGCATCTTATCCGGCGCGAGATTTCTTAGGGATTTCATCAGGACAATCATACAATCTAGGGTGTGTTATGACCTGTCTTCGTTCGGTGTGTACAAGGACGGCCTGCAACTAGTAAATAGGTTCAGTACACGAACTGATACATTCTGTTGTGTGTTCTGATGTGTTATCGTTAAGTGTCAACATGGTCAAGTGGCATGCGACTTCTGACCCGACATGCCCATTGTGAAGAGCAAAACAGACGCTTGAGCACGTTTTGTCCGCGTGCAGAAAAGCCCTAGGTCAGGAAAGATATACTTGGCGCCACAACAAGGTGCTGAAAGAGTTGGTAGCCGTTGTGAACAAAGCTAGGAGGAGGGCCAATGCGAGGGCTAGTCCTACCGTTATCCCCGTACGCTTCCTCAAGGCTGCACAGATTTATAAAGGTAAATTCAACAAGTTCCCATACGCTCCATCGATGCTTGACTGTGCGAGGGACTGCCTACTGGTGGTTGACCTGCCTGGTCACGGAAAGTACCCAGCGTTAATACGGAAGACCGGCCTGCGACTTGACATAGCCCTACACTCTGCGAGAAACGACAGCACATCCTGATTGAGCTGACCGTGCCGTATGAGTCAGGAATGCACGAAAATCAGATGTATAAGCTCGAGAAATACAGTGACCTCGCGGTCGGTCTGAGGAGAAACGAAGCGCACACAGTAAAAATCTTTACCATCGAGGTAGGCGCAAGAGGTCTTATCTCCACTTCTATGTACAATGTGATTAAGTAGTTGGGCTTGCAAGGAAACGAGCGCAAACGATCACTAAAACAACTGGGCGAGGCTGCAGAGAGAGCCTCGAGCTGGCTTTGGACACAACGGAACGTCGTCGGGGACGGGTTTCGGTAGGCTGGTCCGGGTACCTAGTCGAAAAGAAGTCTTATCCCTAAAAGTCCATCGTGTCCGAATTGTCTGCCGGTATCCCTCTGTTAATTGCCAACAAAGTATAACATGTGTCCGATAAACCAACCGTAAGCTTGCCACTTGTTCGTCGAAGTATGCCGACTGATCTAAAAAGCTACCACAGCGACTATAAATAAACTTCAAATCTCACAGTAACTGTTGTAAAGTCACCATTTTCGTCTTGTCCCTTTCCGAGAACATCGGTATTAAGTGCTACAGGAGCAGATCAAACCTGAGCGTCCACCCTCTGAAATTGTCTGGGGATCATGGGCCGAAACAATTGTGGACGAATGATCACTTCTACTGATGATGGTAGACTCCTGCTGTACATGCTTTCATGTGGAGCTCTTCTTCTTGTTGGATACTTCTAGCTGCACAGGAGCAGGATCGTCCACGCCAATCAACGGATCACTCGACGACGATAATGGTGATTTTCATTATCGTTTTCATTACAAAATTCAAAGTGTGCAAATTAAAACAATTTCTTTCCGTTGTGAATTTAAATAATGCAAACAAAAACAGTATATTGTACAGTTTATTTTCATATGCAACTGAGGAGATACAGCGAAATATGTGGGACAATAAACTGGGCAATGTATTGTTTGTGCGCGATTTTTTTTTAAATGACTGACTAAATAATGATGATAATAATTATGAAGATCGTGATAATGAATATGATAAAGATTATAGTGATTGTGATGACGAAATTTTTTTTATAATTTTGATGATTATGGAAGTAATGATAAGGTTGGTGAAGACAAAGACAATGGTGATGAGTTGAGTTAACAACCATGCCCACAGCAATCTGGACATTTCCGTAGCAGCCCCGTCCATACCCCACCCAGTCTTCAGAAGCCAGCGCAGAGTTTTAATTCCGATGCTACCAGCCTGGGGTTGGAGCCTGTCCTACTACAGGCGCGTCCACCAGGTGGCGGATGGTGGAAAGGCCTCTAGATATAGAGGTTAGCCACGAATATATTGAATAAGTGGCCGTGGACCAGAACAGGTGATGGTCACTGAGAGGAGGCGAGTTAGTTAGTGGAACAGCTAACTCTATAAAATACCTCAAAACTTTACGACATGGCCATCGGCGGGTGAGAGGCGCCATAACCGCTTCCCCCTGCTGCCTTGCAGGGTAAGTCTCTTTAGACAACGGCTATTGGAGTCAGACCATATACAAACCAGCGGAAGCCAAGGGGAAACCACCGCTGTACTATCCCTAGTAAATCATACCTCTAAATAATACGAATTCACGTGAATGGGGATTCCAGTGGAAATACCTCGTCCGGTAGGGAGCATCATTGTTCTACGGGTGATACCCGACCGTCATCCAGCTACTGTAGAAAAAGTGAATGGTAGAAACATCATGAACATTGTGGTACGTGGAATGTCAGAACACTCGTACAAAACGGAAAGCCGGATAACATCAAGATGGAAACGAAGAGAATGAACATCAATATATTAGGAATTAGTGAAATGCGATGGCCAGGAGCAGGGGGAAAGTATTCAGATCAGCACATAATTATTTACTCGGGTGGGAAGAATATAGTAAGGGAGGAGTTGGTATTATTTTGGATAAAAAAAAAAAAAAAACTGTGAAAGGATTTTGGACAATATCAGATAGAGTACTATTAGTAAAATTTCGCCGCAGACCGTTTGACATCAACTTTGTACATTTATGCCCCAACAGCAGATAGTTCAGAGGAAGATATTGACGAGTTAGACATGGCTGTTGATCAATGCAAAAATTGTGAAGTAACAATAGTACTTGGAGATTTTAACGCGAAAATAGGAAGTGAAAAAGTGTACGGAATAACGGGTGGCTATGGCCTAGGAGGAAAGAATGTGAGAGGTGACAGATTAATAGCATGGGCTGAGTCGCGCAGCATGATAATAGGTAACACCTGGTTTAAACACCATCCTCGAAGATTGTGGACTTGGAAAAGTCCTGGTGATAATGTCCGCAATCAGACTGATTATATTTTGATTTCAAGAAGATTCTGGAGCAGCTTAGTTGGAGCAAAAACTAGACCAGGAGCAGACTGCTTTAGTGACCATGTTCCAGTTGTAGGAAAATTAAAATAAAACTAAAGAACATTAGAAAAACACCACAAGTTAAATTTAGGAATTCTTAGAACGGATAAAGAAATTAAGGAACAGTACAATGTCACTGTACAAAACCGGTATAATGCAATGGAAATTATACAGACTATTCTATTGATGAACAGTGGGATATGTTGCGTGAGTCAATTCAGCAGACATCAAAAGAGGCAATCCCACCAACCCATAGAGTTGCAAAAAAAGAAATGGATGTCAACCGAGATTCTGCAGTTGATGGGTGAAAGAAGGAAGAAAAAGAATGATAAAGAAGAATACTCTAGAATACAAAAAGAAATTGTGAATAAATGCAAAGTGGCTAAAGAAGACTGGCTGAATTAAATGTGTACAGATTGGGGAAAATCTCAGGAAAGACTCACATTACATGTACCAACAGATAAATATTTTAACAGGAAAGATGACACGTAACAGCACTGGATGTTTGAAATCAAAAGATGGTGACTTATTAATGGGACATAGTAATATAATTAACAGATGGACAGAGTATATAGGGGAATTGTATGATGATAATAGACAAGATGTAGAAATGCAGACCATCAATGATGGTCCACCATTAATGACTGCAAAAGTTGAGGATGCAATACATCATATGAAGAAAGGAAAAGCACCCGGGCCAGACAACATCTCACTGGAAGAAATCGAAGCACTGGGAAATTTTGGATTTGAAATGATAACTAAACTTTTAAATGATGTTTATAATAGTGGGTATATTCCAAATGGTCTTTTAAAATCCATATTTATAGCTCTGCAAAAAAAAAAAAAAAAAAGGCACTTTGAAATGTGAAGACCATCGCACAATAAGTCTTATGAGTCACATGAATAAGATTTTACTGAGAATAATTATGAGAAGAATAAGAAACAAAATTAAACCAGAAATCAGTGATGAACAATGTGGATTTGTAGAAGGAAAAGTTACAAACAATGCCATATACATCCTAAGGACATTGTCAGAAAGAGCTATAGAAGTAAAGACTGATTTGTACTTATGCTTTATAGACTATACAAAAGCATTTGACTGTGTGAAGCACCAAGAAGTTATCAAACTGTTAGAAAAATTAAACATTGATGGGAAAGATCTACGAATAATAAAAAATATGTATTGACAGCAAACAGCAGCTATAAGAATTAACAACTGTTTATGTACATTTCAAAACATAAAGAGGGGCGTACGACAAAATTGTGTACTGTCACCTGAATCGTTTTCAATATACAGTGAATATATAATGAGATCTTTAATTGATATGCCCGGAATTGTGGTTGGTGGGCACAATATAAAAAATATACGTTATGATGACACTGTCTTGATAGCAACAAGTCAGAAAGAACTACAGGAAATGATAGACATTGTGGTGTTAGAAAGTGTAAGAATGGGCCTCAGTTTAAATAATGGGAAGACAGAAGTAATGGTGGTATATAAAAAAAAAAAGAATTATTCCTAAATGTGTAATAAATGTGTTATGTTAGGACAAGTACATAAATTTAAGTATCTGGGCACATGGATAACATCAGATGAAAGATGCATAACTGAGATAAGAAACAGAATAGGACAGACAAAGACTGCATTTTATAAAATAAAAAACATCCTGTGCAATATATCCTTGTCATTGAGAGTTAGAAAAAGAATTCTCGCTTGCTACATACATCCCGTTTTAACATATGGCTGTGAATCCTGGACAATCGGTATGCAGGCCAAACAATTTCTAGAGGCCTCAGAGATGTGGTTTTACAGAAGAATGCTTAGAATACCTTGGACAGCCAAATAGGGCAACCAAGAGGTTTTGAAAGAGGCGGGAGCCGGAAGAAAACTTATCACATACATCAGAAGGAGACAGTCATCATTTTTAGGCCATGTTATGAGAAGAGGGAAAATAGAACATGTGATCACTGAAAAAAATCTGTGGAAGGAGGGATAGAGGAAGGCAACGAGAGAAGATTCTTGACAGTCTTGTTGCATGGCATGGAAGTGTGTCTGCACACGAACTAATACATGCCGCAGGAGATCGCAGTTTATGGGGAGGCATAATCGCCCACGCCAGTCGGCAAGGCCCTGATGATGATGATGACCAGAAACAGTATGACTGTATGTGTGTCTTGTCCTTCCCCTCGGTGATAAGTGTCGACCAAACGACCTGGTCACTCCCCGATGTACCATTCTCTTTAGATCTTAGCAATCTCTTTGTGCCCACCACTGTTAACTCGCTCACAAAGAACCTTGATACCACTCAGCTTGCCATGCATCAGTTTATCATTAAGAGGTGCAGAAACAACCAGTCTGTCTGCCTGTTCGCTTCCCAACATACTTACGTAGCGTAGAAAAAATATTAAAAGAAGGATACATATTTGAGACCTGTGAGGCGATGCTTGTCACTCCGCACGGAACTTACATGTCTCAACCTATCTCGGCATTGCTCTATGTATGTGTTCAGCATGATAAGTCGTGTTATTTTTTCCCAGGGATCAGACGGAGGAATGGAAAGGATGGATGCAGGTCATGTTTGTATGGTACCATTATTTCATGGCCAAGGAATGGTACAACTGGATCCGAATTTATATCGCTTGCTACGTATGGATGACAGGATTCGGTAAGTGAAAGAGATGATTGGGTGTTGTAGATAGGATTTAGTAAGTGGGAGTGATAGCTATGCGTGGGGGACAGGAATTAGTAAGAGGGAGAGATAATTATGCGTAGTTGACAGTATTTGTTAAGTGGGAGCGATGGTTATGTGGGTTGAGAGGGTTTGGTAATTGGGAGAGATTGTGACATATGTGTCACAGAGTTTTGTCAGTGGAAAAGATGGCTAGTTGTGGATTGATTTGATTTGATTCAAGAACCGACATCACAGAATTCGGGGCATTCCCATAAGCGCTCCGTCCCCATCTTCAGCAGCCTGATTAAAAGTCCGTCTTGCCTTTCCTCTGAGCCTTGAGCTTCTGCCAGAACCTTTCGTCACCCCCAACTGCATCAATCTCACCAAAACTGTGGTGATCCATCTGCTACTCCGCATTGTACAAACTCTCCCACAAGGCACTAACCACGTCTGCCCTATCATGTAGCAGTATTCCACCAAGTTGTGCAGAGCCAGCCAGTTTGTCCGCCTGTTCATTTCCCAAAACACCGGCGTGACCCGGTGAAAAAATCCAGACAATTATCCTCACTCGTCTCCTCCGCAGTGAAGCATGCCACTCTGCACGAAGCATACCTGTTCTGATCTTCCTCAGCAGGCTTTCTGAATCAGTTACAATTACAATGTGTGTGTGCGTCGTGTTCTCTAGCCAGCGGAAAGCTGCAGCGACCGCCTCCACCTCCATTCTTAAGCTGGATGTTGTGGTATAATATGCTAGGCTCTCCTGCACCAAATGTCGACCATTTACTTTTGCTAAAAAGCGGCTACATGTGGAAAACATAAGGTAATTGAGAGAGACGATTACGTAGAGTGGCGAATGATTCAACACGTGGGCTATCCTGTTAGGTGTAGTAGATTTGTGGGATAGGTTACTAGTCATGAGTGACAGGATTCAATACGGAGAGTGCCTTTTAGGTGTGGGGGGACAAGATTTGGTAAATGGGGAAGCTAATTATGTGTAGTGGGGAGGTAGGTGCTTTGCTTGACAAATAAACAATTTAAAAAAAGTTTCAGCCAGTATCCCCGAAGGGGAGCTTAAGGTTATAATTGTGACTAGCTTATGTGCGTCATATAGAATGGCTTAGCAATGCACGCCACCAAGAGTCTTGAAAAAGACTGCTGCAGTGTTTATGCGATGAAAGGAGAGCCAGTGGGCCACCCGGTCGCGAATGTGATTTAAGGAGGAAAAGGTGGAAATGACCCTTTTTAACGGCTTCGGGCGTATTGGGCACCAGTAAAAGTGGTAAAGGGTATATAGGGTTAGACATGTAGTTTATAGAGCAGTCGGTATTTGGTGGGTGATGTGGTCAGTATCACGCCCACCGCCTTTACTTCACAGCACTGCAGCTGGTAACCATTCAGGGTCGGGTCATTTAAAAAAAAAGCAAATTCGGCTTTGTTAGGACTGAACCCACGACCTGGGATCCGCAGGTGAGCGTCTAGCCTCTACCCAGCGGCGGCGCTGATGATCATGTAAGGGTGGTAGGATTTGGAGAGTTATGGAGATAGTTACGTGCTGGTAATAGTATTGGGTAAGTGAGAGATATAATTACATGCGGACGGCAGGAGTCAGTAAGTGGCTATTTATTAGGGGCGGATGACAGGAGAAAGTATGTGGGCTATCGTCTGTTACGTGTGAGTGGCAGGATTTGATGAGAAGGTAAGTTGGCTATTTCTTAATTCCACACACAAATTACATAGTGCATTGATGTACATCGGCTTTGTTAAATTAACCCTTCCCCCCCCCCCCCCAAAAAAAAAAAATCTATTCCTATGCTTTATTGTAAGTTTGTGTAAATTCTAAAGTATAGACTTATCCAGCTACATTGAAATATATTAGATAATAAACTGTACAGTATATCGTCTCATCTTATCTTAAACTCACATATACAACCTTGCGCGCGCACACACACACACACTTACACACACACATACACACACACTTACACACACACACACAAACCTTATTTGGACTATACAGGCATATCATTGTTCGTGTGAGTAGAAATCAACGAGCAGTGGTGTGCTGATTAATTTCTTGAATATGGCTTCGAAATCCCGATATATCTGGTGAGGACACAGTCGCCAGAACTCTTTATTCACATAAACGCTGTTCTACCTTTAATCAAGGACGATTGAGCTTGGCAGCTTAGGTCTCGCGTGGCCCCTTTCCCTATTTGAAACAATCAGTGCGGGCTAAGCAGTTCAACTTATCAATGTATGACTGTTCTATTTATGAATATTGTTTATACATTTCATATTGTTATACGTATTTGCCATTCATCATATTATTATTGCTACCATCATCACCATTACTACTACTGCTGCTGCTGCGGCTGCTGCTGCTGCTGCTACTACTACTACTACTATTACTACTAATACTACTACTACTACTACTACCACCACCATCACCACCACTCAGTTCAGCAAGGCTTAGATCACTTGGGGGGAGGGGGGAAGAAGGGGGAGGACGAACCGACCCCCTATCTACCTCAGAAAATGTATAAATGAGCAGAGTTCCAACCCCAAATGTTTTCTTCGTGTCGGCTCCCTGATTTAAATTCACATTGTTGAGGATAATGTTTTCTAAGTGTGAATCTAAATAATGAAAGCACAAAGATATTGCACTGTTAACTGCCGGGCATATGTTGCTGTATCTCACCATGTTCTTACTTACTTACTTGCTTAGTCAATCCTCTTCTGCCTCGTGGTATAGAGGTTTGCCAGACAGATCGTGAAACCTCTCAATCTGAAGTAATTTTTTGGGGTGATTTGTTCCATTCCAGTCCTCAGTCAGTCAGGGACTGTTGGATTTTATCTTCCCAGGAAATCTTAGGTCACCCTAGAGCTCTTGTTGCCTTGTTGTTGGCCTCACAGGCCTGCCGTGGTGGTCAGTTCTTTCCCAGTATGCATACCAGTCCAAACCAATGTATCTGTACCTTGTCCACTCGAGTGTAAGGTCTGGGTTTCACGATTGCGAACTTTGTCCCTTCTTGTTACTTGGACTATCTTTCTCAGATATCCTCCTTTCTGAAGCGTGAAGCTGGCTCCTGCGAACTGTTGTCGTTTCCAATCGCCAGGTGCACTACAGTGTAATTTACGTCATCATAAAAGGTCTTTCCAAGTGATTTATCACACACTGAAATAGAAGTTTATTAGAATTGGCGGAAGCAGTGGCAATAAGAACAGACAATCGCACCTTAAATACCTGAAAGGATTCTGTGGTTGATCTTAGCCTTTCGTGTTTAGATGTACATGGCAAGAACCGGCAAAGTGATCTGTGTATTTAAGTTTTTAGGTTCGATTCATGTTTTGTGTTCATTAAATGCAAACTCTGCGGTAATTACTACACACAGCAAAAGAAAACCTCGACTATATATTATGCAATACATTGTACGTGTCCTTATAAATAAAATATCACGTTAATGTTTTGCTCATTTCAGGCAATTTTTCCTTCTTTTGGGTGAGGAATGATTATTCTCTATGGCGATTACTGAAAATGATGTTTCGACTCAATTTCCTAGTAACCTTCGTAGCCCTGGCAACCAACAACGAGTATATGCTGTACTATATCTGCGCCATGCACACCTACTGGTTCCTCACCACCTACATCTTCATGCGGACTCTAAACTCCTGGAATCGCAACTCGGCCCTAATGGCCGTCAAATTCGTGGCCTACGCCGTGTGCAACGCAATCATCTTTGATATCCCGGGCGTCACTTACTACGTTTTCAGACCATTCTCCTTTGTACTTGGTCTCCATGACAAATCGAATGATATCCTCCATGAGTGGTCGTTTCGGGCAGGACTGGACCATTGGGCTTGCTTTTTTGGCATGCTGTGTGCTTACAACTACCCACATTTTGAAGCTTTTATGCAGTATGTGGATTCAAAATCAATTAGCAACAAAGATAAAGCCCTAAAGATGACTCTGAGAGCATTATTGATTAGTGGATGTACCCTACTTGGTATTCTGTGGTACTCCTTATTCATGGGGAAAGATAAGATCAGCTATAACCAGACGCACCCGTACACGTCCGTGATTCCTATAACCATTTTCATTGTGCTGAGAAACGTGCACCCAGTGTTGAGATCCTACCACGTCAACATGTTTGCTTGGTTAGGTAAGTGTGCTAACCTTTGTTGTGTAGTCTTATTTTTGTCCTTCTTCATTTTCGTCCTCCTCCCGCTACCCTTCTCCGCCTCGCAGCTTCCTCATTCTCTGCTCTCAAGTGGCGGTTGGTGCATTGTTTTGTGGTTTACAGCTAAGATGCTGTATATGTACCTTTTTGAGCACCTTAACCGATTTAAACAAACACTAATTTACTCGCCTCTTACAACATGTTTGTTACTGAGGCAGCGGGAAACGGAAAAGGAATGCAATAATCAAGGATACAAGGAGAGAATATGGCAAGGACAATAAGTAGTTCTCCTCTAGACTGCAAAAACATTACAAGTAAAGAAAAGACCACGGCTATTATGATGCAGGAACCATGAAATATTACTCATGGCTCAAGCGATGAGTATGTGAATAATGAATTCTTCCTCTTCTCCTGCCTCTCTAGCCCCTGTGGAGCATAGGCCCTCAACCAACTCACGCCAAGCCATTCTATCCTTCGCTATCGCACACAAATCTTCGCTATGTTTTCTCCCCATCTTTTCAACTTCACTCTCTAACCTTTTCATTGTGTGTTGTATGGTCTTCCTTTATTTCAATGCCCCTGTGAGTTCCAGTTCAAAGACAGTCTAGTGATATTGTTTTCTGGTTTCATCAACGTGTGTCTTTTCCAACGGACCTCTTGGTCCACTGGAACTTGTTTATTTATTTCCCAAAGCTCTACATTAATGATTCGATCTTAGCATTTAATTCCCTCCATTCTGCACAGGCACCAGAATATCTCTATCAGTTCCCCCACCTTTATCTAATTTACTGCCCAAATAGGTGTATGACTCTACGTCTTGGAGTGGGATAGCATTAAGAGAAACCAGATTTATTCTGATTATCTTACCCAAGAACATGTAGAACTGGCCCTAACCCAAACTCTCCTACCTACAGCCCCCACCTAGGTCACACGAGAGACTCTTTTCGAAGTAAGCAGAACAGCGTGACCCACCTCTGACCTAGATCAGACGAAGAAAGTGTGTTGATGGGCAGCGAAACGTGAACAGGTCCGATCTTGTGTTCGAATCCGTACCGGATGGATTTGTGAGAATTTGACCACGGCGCCTAGGTCGACCTAGCCTAAAGGGTCGGTGTGGATAAAGTTAACAGTCTCAGCTCGACCAAGCCTAAAACGGGTAACAGGAAATTCATGACAAGTAAAAGCCGTGTTTATGTGTGTGTGTGTGTGTGTGTGTGTGTGTGTGTGTATTGTGAGCTAACCCCTTTGATTATGCAAGTATGCCAGAGGTCAAGGACATAGTAAATGCATATGCATATTTATGAATACGCTGACAGAGGCAAGTGCAAAATAGTCAGACCAGTTAAAGTTTGTGAAACAGGTATTGCTTAAAACGGGCAACTGCAGCCATCACAAGTATTGCCAGGTAGCTTCTAGTGGAGACATGACTGTTTGTTTAAGAAGCTCTCTGTCGGTGAGATAGGAGGATATCCATGACTGTTTGATTTAGAAGCTCTCTGTGGGTGAGATAGGAGGATAGACTGTTTGGTTTAGAAGCTCTCTGTCGGTGAGACAGGAGGATATCCATGACCGTTTGATTTAGAAGCTTTCTGTCGGTGAGATAGGAGGATACCTATGACTGTTTGATTTAGAAGCTCTCTGTAGGTGAGATAGGAGGATATCCTTGACTGTTTGGTTTAGAAGCTTTCTGTCGGTGAGATAGGAGGATATCCATGACTGTTTGATTTAGAAGCTCTCTGTGGGTGAGATAGGAGGATAGACTGTTTGGTTTAGAAGCTCTCTGTCGGTGAGACAGGAGGATATCCATGACCGTTTGATTTAGTAGCTCTCTGTCGGTGAGATAGGAGGATATCCATGACTGTTTGATTTAGAAGCTCTCTGTGGGTGAGATAGGAGGATAGACTGTTTGGTTTAGAAGCTCTCTGTCGGTGAGACAGGAGGATATCCATGACCGTTTGATTTAGAAGCTTTCTGTCGGTGAGATAGGAGGATACCTATGACTGTTTGATTTAGAAGCTCTCTGTAGGTGAGATAGGAGGATATCCTTGACTGTTTGGTTTAGAAGCTTTCTGTCGGTGAGATAGGAGGATATCCATGACTGTTTGATTTAGAAGCTCTCTGTGGGTGAGATAGGAGGATAGACTGTTTGGTTTAGAAGCTCTCTGTCGGTGAGACAGGAGGATATCCATGACCGTTTGATTTAGTAGCTTTCTGTCGGTGAGATAGGAGGATACCTATGACTGTTTGATTTAGAAGCTCTCTGTAGGTGAGATAGGAGGATACCTATGACTGTTTGATTTAGAAGCTCTCTGTAGGTGAGATAGGAGGATACCTTTGACAGTTTGGTTTAGAAGCTCTCTGTAGGTGAGATAGGAGGATACCTTTGACTGTTTGGTTTAGAAGCTCTCTGTCGGTGAGACAGGAGGATATCCATGACCGTTTGATATAGTAGCTCTCTGTCGGTGAGATAGGATGTTATCTATGACTGTTTGATTTAGAACTTCTCTGTAGGTGAGATATGAGGATACCTTTAATTGTTTGATTTAGTAGCTCTCTGTCAGTGAGATAGGAGGATACCTATCACTGTTTGATTTAGAAGCTCTCTGTCGGTGAGATAGGAGGATACCTATGACTGTTTGATTTAGAAGCTTCCTGTCGGTGAGATAGGAGGATATCCATGACTTTTTAATTTAGAAGCTCTCTATCATTGAGATAAGATGGTACCCATGACCGTTTGATTTAGAAGCTCTCTGTCAGTGAGATAAGATGGTATCCATGACTGTTTGATTTAATTGCTCTCTGTCAGTGATTTAGGACAGACGTATGGGTCTGTGGCGTTATAGTTATTCTTACAATATGCTTAATTTTGTTAGAGCGCATAGACTGTTGAATTAGACTGTCTTAGACTTGTGGATGCTACCACTGATATAGAAGATGTGACTTTGTGATCCAGATACTTTATCTAATCACTCTGTAATTTGGCTGCTTATATTTCACTGTGTTGGCCAATGCTAGAGGCTGTTTGTGTAACTTTTCGGGTCTTTTGAAATCAGCACCACTTTTGCAAGCTTCCCCATAGGTCAATCGGCTTTGATCCTCGCCGGTGCTATGGAGTTCGTTCACCGCGCTGAGATTCTCCGTACTTAGGCATGAGTTAGAAGTAGAACGGAGCACTTATGGGTTACTACCCTTGTGCCATGGTGTTGATCCATTGTGTAAACAAACAAATAAACCACCGGCTTATACCTACAGGGATTCTGGTTAAACGTAACTATTCCCCCCCCCCCTTTTTTTTCCCCAGCAAAGCACCTACCTACCTACAGTAAGCCAGACCTGCCAGTGACATGAACTGAGTCATTTAGTGTTTTTTCACACAGGTTATGAAGTCTTTCTTTAACCGAATGGTATCTGCAGACGCAGCGTTGGATGTGACAACATATGTATACAGATGCTGCTTGAATGTGGAGTTACAGGTGGCCCCGGACAGGAGGACCGTACGAGAGCCTCAGTATGGCGTGTTTAAAGCTGTTTAGTATCTACACATTAGGACATTTACTGCAGGAGAAGGAGCATCTTCGGCTATGTCCGGTGTGCTATGATGTCTAGTCTTCGTGGGAAATCAGTAAATAAAACAATCCACAAAGTCAACAACAACAACAACAACTAAAATCATGCAACAAATCAGCTCTTCTCGGACCAGCGTCAAATATGCTAACACGTAGACCTGTGAGCCCCTTGAGAAAAATGAAACATCTTGATGCAGATGTATCGAATCAGAATTTATTATAAAGATATATTGGCTGTATAATCTTGGTAACATCAGCTTTGTGAAAAGCTCAAAAATATCCCTGCCAAATCAATGAAATATTTGTATCGACCCCGTGATGATAGCAGCTTGCAGCGAGTATCTCCACCTACAGCTATCTTTGGGAGTATTAAGATGAGGGCCTAGTCTCTTCTGTGATCTCACTATTGCATCACGTGCAAAAGCCACGAGCACGTTATTTTTCCAAACTGCACGCCACCTAAATCCAACCTTGGTTCATTCAAGACAGGCTCCAGCTGACAGCCGGTCTTGGTTAATTGAGGATTGTGAAAGGAGCACACTAGCCTCTAAGACACTAGCTACACACATCGTCAATAATGTATCATTAACCTGGCTGAGAACATTTAAGATATCGATCAGGGAAGAAAGTGTGCGTGCGTGTACAAATAGGACCCGGTCAACTGACACGCAGCCAAACAAATGGTCAGGGCAGATGGCGTTCGCTTGTGTGAACATGCAATAATAATATAGATTGACTGGGGGTGGGAGAGGAAGGGGTGGAGTTGGGTCAGGGGGAAAAAAAACAGTAGTCCTTCAAGCCGCATGGTAATTACTGTCCCTACAGCAGTGGTTCTTAACCTGCCTAATCCTGCCACCCTTTTATATAGTTCCTCATGTTGTGGTGTCGGCTCTGTGGCTAAGTCGATGCGAACGCTTCGCTTCGTAATGCCGGGATACCAGGTTCGATCCCAGCTGCGGGCAATGCGCCTTGCGTTGGTTTCGACAGTGGTATCACCCCAAACTACTGGATGTAAATTGCCTAGTTAGGGTTGGTTCTGCAACGTCCTGTAAAGGATACGCAACTAACATGTTGTGGTGACCCCCAGCCATAGTTATTTTCGTCGCTACTTCATAACTTCAGTGAATATGTGTTTTCCAATGGTCTTAGACGGCCTATGTGAAAGGCTCGTTCGACCCTAAAGGGGTCGCGACCCACAGGTTGAGAACCGCTGCCCTAAAGGATATCGTAGGCCTTTTCCCATCAGTATCAGTTCTTGGCATTTTGGGTTTATTATATTAGTCATTTTCTCCAGGCCGGCATAGTCTTTTTTCCTCTTCTCCTGTTCCTTATCCTTCTCCTCCTCTTCTTCATCACGGTGATCTTCTTCTTCTTCTTCTTCTTCTTCTTCTTCTTCTTCTTCTTCTTCTTCTTCTTCTTCTTCTTCTTCTTCTTCTTCTTCTTCTTCTTCTTCTTATTCTACCCATTTTTCTTCCTCTTCTTCTTCGGTGCTGACCCTTATAAGGGCGGTTGGAAACAATTCGAATCAGTTTCAATCCGAAATTGTGTTAACTGACCGACTTTACTTTCAGGACATGCTCTAGACCCACTTTAAGCAGGGTCTACCTTGGAACCCATGTCACCCCCGTTTAGTAACGTTTAGTAAACTGTTGTGACAACATGCACAGATTTATATACAATTTGACAACACGTTATTTTTAGATTAAAAGTTTGAGACTGCATTGTTTTAGCACTAAAAGTTAGCGGCTAAAATTGATATTAAAAGCTAAAGATAAATCTTCCGCACTGCTCAGTCTTCCCAGAAGGCCTCGATAAAATCGTGCGTCATTTTACCGCCAAGTGTTCAAAATCAGCAAGTTTTCGACCGGTTCGTCAACAAAAATATCCAAAAGACGCTAACTACACTGGACATCTATAGCAGTGTTTTCCACTCTTAATGGAGAATACCTCTCTACCTTTCTCAGCATGTTATGAAGCGGCATTTTGTCATGAACCCCAAAGGCGTGAGAATATTCCTTTTCTTTATGGAGCAGATTTTATCGTTTTGGTATGACCTGTTAGACCTTCATATTTTCTTACCCCACTTGAGGTGGGGATAACTGCTCCTCTCATCGCATCTTCTTCCTAAACAACTATCAGCAGATTTTTTGCCTCACCATTTCTTTGACGCTGAGTGACCACAGAGTTTTGTTTTTTCTGGAACAACCAATCCTTGCTGTTGTAAAGATTGCAGCCGGACCATTGTTTCGGCAGGCAGAGAAGCAAACTACCATACCACATGACCGCATATCCTCATCATCATTTTCATCATCATAATCGTCATCATTATCGTCATCATTATCAACATCCACGTCCTGTCGTTATAGGTCATAGATGGCCAACAGTTTAGTCCTTGGTTCAGTTGTATTTTTTGCAGTGCTTTCGAGACCATGGATGTAATTCAGCCCAAACATCTTTGGCCTCTCTTGACAACTTTTATCTTAGATGTTCCTACTTTCACAGCCCATTTGTTTCCCATTGTTTGCCTGGTTAGTGATTTCCTTTATGCTTCTCCTTATGATGTGCCCAATAAATCGTTTTTTTTTTTTTTTTTTTTTTTTTTTTGCATAACTATGGATGCAAACAATTATCTATGCATTTCTTTTATTTCTTCGTCTTTTGAAAATTCTTCCTATATAATATTCATCAGTTTCCTAAGGGCATTTGTTTTCGCGTGCATTTGACTTTCTTTCCATGTCTTTAGTAACTCTCCATTGGAACATTAGAACTGAAATAACTTTGCAAATAAAAATATGTAATTTGGTTTTGAACTGCATAGTTTAAAGTTTCAGAAATTATTAAACTTTTCAACAACTGCTGTTGCCTTGTCAGTAAATAATTAGATAAGATCCCGTGTACAATTTTCACTCATTACACTGGTCTAACCAAACCAGTAAACGATTTTGTCTCTTTATTACCTTTATGGAGAGTACATTCAGGTTAATTTTGCCTGTTTTGTTTCTATTTCCTTGCAGGCAAGATCACACTGGAGACCTACCTGTCACAGTTGCACATCTACTTGCTGTCCAACGCCCGGGCCTTACTGGTGTTTCTACCTGGTTATCCGTTACTGAACTTTTCCTTGGCCACAATAACATACTTGCTTATATCTCACACATTGTTTTCTATAACTAACGACTTTAGCAACTTTCTTATACCCAATGATAACAAGAAATTATTGATTCACTTATTTTACATAGTTATTATTTTCTCTGTATCGGCGCTGTTTGCTTATGGAATTACCTCTGGGTATACATAAGATGTGCATATTTATTAACCTTGTAAACACTGGTATAAGTAGCATTTTTATTGACTTTACTTGTGATAATGTCATTTTAACAGTTGAAAGGAATAAATTATTAGTTTTAAAAATACCATTAACAGAAATTTAACATTTACATTGTTTAAAAGTTGCCTCACGTAAACATCAGTTACATGTACTGTTTTTATTGATTTATAACTTTGCCATTTTAACATTTGAAATGAGGGAAATACTCGTAATGTGTTCGATTTTTTTTACAGATAATTACTAAATTTTTTCTAAGATTTTACGTTGTGTCAGAGTTGCTTCTGAAGCTTAATAAAGCAGTATTTGTATTATTTTTTTTCCTTTCTATCCCAGTGTATAATTTTAACATTTGAAGTGAAGGAAATACTTGTAAATTATTACAAATTTTCGGAACGATCATTAACAGAAACATGACATTATGTTGTTTATCACTGATTTTGTTGTAAACATCTAGTAGTTTTTTTTTTATTTATTTTTTTATTTTTTTTTACATTAAATTCCTGTTTTAAATTAATGGATCTATGCATATATTATGAGAGAATTCACAAAATAGTTCCAGTATCTTTCGAAGCGAATAATAAAGATAGAAATCGGAAATGTTGAACATTTTATTTGTGAAACGCATGTATTGTGTAGACAAAATGGCACCTTATTCCAACTAAAACACGGCTGCCCTAAACCGTTTAGATGACATACCAGAAAGAAAAAAAATTCCGTCACTAACAGTAACATTTCTGGTTTCGGGGGGAAAAATATATGGTGAACATTAATAAACGTTTGTGTGCTGAGTGTGAAAGTTGTGCAGTCATAATGAGCACAGTTTGTCGCAGGTTTCAGGAAGTTGAAGTCTGAGCAGTGAAGATACGAAGCTGTGGGTGTTGTTATTCAAGCTGTGAGGAAATGGCTGTTTTCAGGACAAAATATCGTAAAGACAAAGCGAGCGTATTACACTCTCATTGGAGGATTTAAGGAGGATTTGACTACTGCATTAAGAAGTAAAATGATTTTTTTTTTAAACGACAATTTTTGAATAATTTTGTGCAATTATAAAAATTACCTTAAATTAAATGGTTTTATTTCGACGTTTTCGAATACAGTGTGCATGATTCTTTGTACCACTAACATCATATAAATTTAAAGTTAACAATTATTCATTATTGTTTATGTATAAACATCATACTGTAGTGACTGGTTCTATCTCCACGTATTCGGATACAATTTGTCTCATGTTCCATACCATCACCATAATTTATTTTTAAACAATTTGCAATTATGATTTATTTTTCATATATAAACATCGTAATGTACTATGTTATGTCATCTCTATGTGTGGACATTCCATACTACCTCCATCATAATTGGTGTACTGTCCAGGATGTCACTTTGCCATCTGGCAAGTGGGATGAACCTCTGAGGTATTGATGAAGTGACCCCATTAAACATTAGATAATATTTATAATGTTCATAATGTTTTAGTACCCTGACAAAAAGAACAGAAGTTATGAAACGTAACTCATAGTCATTTCGCTTTGTCTGAGAAATGTGGGTCGTGCCTTAGTCTCCCTTTTGTATTTGTGTCCCCAGTCTCCACCAACCCCCTCCTAGGATTTCTGCTCGAAATATTATTAACTGTTGACTCGACGAGCCACTTTTCGGAAGCGAATCCAACAGCAGCAGACCCCACAAATTCCGTTCAACTGCAGTAAGCAATTATATTAAAGCATCCTAGGCTGAGGGTGACCAGTTGCCCTTCTCGCTGCATCTCCTTCCTAAACAACTACCAGAAGATATTCTATGTGTGTAAGGTTATATTCTTTCCTCCCAGTTGTTGGTGAACCTCATTGTTCCCTTTTGCCTTGCAGTAGTAGGTTAGCCCCTCTGTCTTCCTTTCTTACTTCCGTATCCGAGGTGGCGATATACTGGGCGCATCCTTGGGGGGGGGGGGGAGGGGGCGGCATAGAATGGCCAGTTACTAAAAACAAGTGGACTGAAGAAATAAGGGCATTAAAAATAAACGCAAAGGACGTGCTCCCAGTTCAAATCAGTTTAAATGGATGTCTAGAAATAACCTGGGAAGTAAAGGTGAACAGTGGGACGTTGACTACATCACTTATCTACTGACTGATCAATAAAATAATGAGTCCATAACCAGCTGGTTTGAGCGGCGTCTGTGGCTCAGGCGTTGCCAGTCCGACTAGTAATTCCAACGTACCGCGATCGAAACCCAGTGTTGGCTGCGTGAATTTTTATCATGGTATAGAGCGTCGCAGGTCGACCCAGCCTAAAAAAAGTACCAGGATCTATGTCCTAGGGAAGTATGTATGTCCTAGGGAAGTATGTATGTCCTAGGGAAGTAAAGGCGGTCGGCGTAAAGCTGACCACATTACCCACCTAGTGCTGATTGGTCTGTAAAAATGTGGGTGCTCTTCCCATATGCCTGATGCGCCTAAAGGTGTGAAACGTGATCTTTACTTTACCAGCTGATCTAAGTTTTGTCAAAAACCGACAAGAAAGTACTCTGGACATTCCCACAAGCGCCCCGTTTCCACATTCAGCAGCCAGCGCAGAGTTCCAGTTACCATGCTTGTACTTTTGCCTCTTCCCTGACCTTTGAGTGTCGGTCAGGTCCCCTTGTCCCTCATCGCTGCACAAATCTGCACTAACACCATACATTTGATGAGCCTATGATGTGAAAAGGGTTCATTATCAACCCAACTATAGTTGTAATGGTTTTCCCCTGTACCCCACTGTCTTACGTCACCGAATCTCAGTATCACCAGGAGGTGTGAATGCATTTCCAAAGTGATATCTTTCAGTGATGGCCGACTGTTTTAACCAGAGTATTAAGACAGCATCAGTACCGCAAGACTGGGTGCACACCTTTCTAATCCCACTACCAAAACCTTTTAAAGATCATTCTAAGCTTAGTGGCTTTAGAATCATCACCTTACAAAACACATTTGGGAAGGTCTTGGAGAAGATAGTTGCTGTAAAGTTACAAGAATTTTTGGAAAGGGGGAAGCTTCTCCCAAGAGGTCTGGGAAGTTACAGGCCAGGAAAGGACACTTGGGCAAATGCGGCCACTTTTGCTTTTGACGTCTATAAAGGGTTCCAGAACAGACAGGAAACTATGGCGGTAGGACTGGATCTCGAGGATGCTTATAACAGAGTGAGATACGACATCTTAATGACTGCACTGAGGGAGAATGAGGTCAATCCATGGCTGGTGAATTGGGTTGCAGCTGTCCTGTATTCACGTCTATTTGCTCTCCGACTGGGCTCATGGACCTCTGAACAATGCACTTTGGCTCAGGACTGCCACAGGGATCCGCCATCTCGCCTGTGCTCTTCAACGTGTATACGAGCAAGATTGCAAGCCTAGAAGCACCAGGAGTTGGAAGGATAATGACTTTTGCGGATGATATACTTGCATATAGGCAGGGGGAAGCGAGGGAGCAAACAGCCCGGGAGCTACAAGCGACAGTAGACAAAGTGACTGAGTGGTGTACAGAAATAAAGGCTGTCGTCCACCCGGAAAAGGCGTCTGTTTTGTGGTGTTCTCTGGACAACAGAATCGTTAAAAATAATGTCCCAAGTCTCACGATAGATGGTAGAGACGTCATCAGAGAGAGCAAACTGAAGTATCTGGGAATTACATTTGACAGGAGCATGTCCTTAAAGTACCATGTGGAGAGTGTTGTGACGAGATGCCAAAAAGGACTTAGTGCACTTAAGACTATGGCTGCAATTGACATAGAGCAGAGATTGCTTTTCACACTATATCAGCACCTGATCCTGTCAGTGGTGGATTATGGCCTGGGACTGCTTACCGTCTCAAAGAGTCAGATGGACAAACTAGAGCGCATACAGAACGCGGCTATGCGGGTCATTCTGGGTTGCACCAGAGACACCCCAGTGGTGTGTATGCGATACATCCTTGGTTTGCCGACGGTTGCAGGTAGGCACAAGGTGCTGCAGGCGAAGTCATATCTCAGGGTAGCTGCAGACACAGACCACCCTCTGCATGAAGCTCTGGGTGCAGTTAAGGGTCATCGGCTGACAAGAGGGAGGTCATGGATGGCTCAGGCAGAAGACACAATCAGACAGGTTTGCATCCTTGAAAACATTAGGCGAGGAGAGGAGTGGGTCAAAGTGCCACCTGAGCAGTCAGACTTGTGTAGAGTCATAATCACGCTGAGCCGGGAATGCAGAGACTGGCCAGCAGGTGCCACAGAGGTGGAAATTCAGCAATTATTTCAACATAATGCTCGCTCAGAGGATTTGATCATTTACACAGACGGTTCAGTGTCAAGAGGCAAAAGAAGTGATTGGGGCTTTTTAGCAAAAGTTAATGGTCGACGTTTGGTGCAGCAGAGCCTAGCATATGATACCACAACATCCAGCTTAAGAATGGAGGTAGAGGCGGTCACTGCAGCTTTCCGCTGGCTAGAGAACACGACACACACACACACACACATTGTAATTGTAACTGATTCAGAAAGCATGCTGAGGAAGATCAGAACAGGTATGCTTCGTGCAGAGTGGCATGCTTCGCTGCGGAGGACACGAGTAAGGAGTATTGTCTGGATTTTTTCACCGGGTCACGCCGGTGTGTTGGGAAATGAACAGGCGGACAGACTGGCTGGCTCAGCACAACTTGGTGGAATACTGCTACATGATAGGGCAGACGTGGTTAGTGCCTTGTGGGAGAGCGTGTACAATGCGGAGGAGCAGATGGATCACCACAGTTTGGTGAGATTGATGCAGTTGGGGGTGACGAGAGGTTCTGGCAGAAGCTCAAGGCTCAGAGGAAAGGCAAGACGGACATTTAATCAGAAAGCTACTGGCACCATTAGTATCGGAACTCTTCGCTGGCTGCTGAAGATGGAGACGGAGCGCTTATGGAAATGCCCCGGGTGCCGTGATGCGGTTCTTGAATCAAATCAAATCAAATCAGTGTTGCCGTTATT